TATATATATATATATAAACTGCACTCAACTGTTTCTAACCATGAAAAGAAAAAAAATCTAAATTCAGACCAGGAATGAGAAGTCACCCAGCTAACATAGGATATTACCAGAGGGTAATTGTGTCTAGTATCCAAGGTCTGTCTACCCAAAAATGTAAATGTAAATAAAATGGGATAGGAACAGAGCTCTTCTGTGAGTTCTTGCTCTTTTCTTGATTACAAAAAAAAAGCTGAGGTGTAATTTACTTATAATGAAATGAACAGGTCTTAAATGTATAGCCTACTAAGTTCTTACCAATTCATATTTCTGTATAATCAACTACCCTACCAGGACACAGACCATTTTTCTTTGCTTAAGGAATTTAATGTAAACAATATCATCAAAAACATATCCAGAAAAAATTATATAAGGAAATATTTAGTTTTTAGTTGACATTCCTTAAAGCTTTGTGTCCCCACAGAGGCAAAGACCACAAGGGGAAGAAACTACCAGGACATGAAGAAATGTGGACAGGAAAGAATATCTAGATATGACCATTATGACATATTTCTGAAAGAGTTATAGACATAAATTATAGTTATCCAGAAAATATTTAGCTGGAATATCCAGGGTTCTACCTTGTCTATAAGAGGTCCCTATAATTCCTATCTTTGAAGAAAATCATCTCTTTAAAATGTTCTGGTGAAACTAAACATGAATTGAATTTTACCATGATTTTTCATTCAAATTTGGCATTTCAAAATATTATCTTATTTTTATTTTACATGTAGGACTGTATTACCTGCATGTATGTAAGTACACCACGAGTGTGCAATGCCCATGGAGGCCAGAAAAGGGCACTGGATCCCCTGGAACTGGAGTCACAGGTGGTTGTTATCTAGCATGTGGGTGCTGGGAACTGAACCTGGGTCCTCTTCAAGAGTAGCCAGTGCTCTTAGCTGCTGAGCTATCTCTCTGGTCCCTCATATTTGACTCTAAATTTAGTATTTGGGTTTTTTCTCCTTGAACTAATAAAGGGAAACAAGTATATTTTATTCAATTTCAAGCCATCAGAGGCTTGTTTACATCTAGATAGGCTGACGACATCCACACAGCTCTTACTACTATCTGCTGCTGTTGACTCCCTGGGGCACTCTATATAGACACTGTACTAAAATTTTCCCTTCAAGTAGCTGGAGAGATGGCTCAGTAGTTAAGAGCACTCCTAACTTCTTGCAGAGGACCTGGGTTCGGTTCCTAGCACCCACATGGCAGCCTACAAACATCCGTAACTCCAGTTCCAGGGGATCTGGCACCTTCTTCTGGCCTCCATGGGCACTGCACAACACGGATACACTTACCTACATGCAGGCAATGACATAAATATTAGAAAAATTTCCCTTCACTATAATTTTTCACAGATGACTCATAGATACATACACCCTAGTCACCTGACACCCAGTATACAACCTGACACTGCCACTCAGCAAATGACATATAACATTTATTAAATTCAACTGAAATGATGTGTTCTTCAATTAAAATAACTTGGCCTACATTCCCCTCTGTTAGTTTTCCTTACATTATGCTGACTCATGAAATTGCTGCCATATGACTGTCTTTTGGTCTACAAAATCCAATTTCTTATGGTTTGCCATGATCCTTTAAAGGAATGGTTGTTATCTCAGGGCCAACCTCATTACCCTCTTTTTCAAAAGATATTCTTTCTGAATCTTCTAGGATTTTGATCTGGTAACAATAAAGCCCATCTCTCTTTAACAGTTCCCTTTTTGCCACGCTCTTCCCCTCTACTGGAATCATGCATAGGTTTCCCTAAGGAAAAGGTCTTCCTTCGATGAGCTCCCTCTCTGCACTACTTTTTCATCAACACTTACTGAGCATTTGCTTGTCCTAGTAATTGCCCTGGATTGAAGGACACACCTCTGAAAAGGTCCAGCCTTGCTCTTGAGGTTCTGACAGTCCATATGTAGAAATTAAATCGATGTTAATTGAGTAAAACTTACAATGCCATGACAGAGAGCCACAGGATGTTACAGGTATGAGAGATAAAACCAAACTAATGGGTTAGAGACCTGCCTTGGCTGGGTCTTAAAAGAAGTTACCAATCACAGAATGGGGGTATATAATGAGAAGAATCTCTTTCTTCACAAAACTTCAACAGTAGTTTAGGAAGTCAATGTTCACATATCCATATTAAAAAAAAATTGTTGGGGATAGAGCAGTGACTCAGTGGTTTTAAGAGTGCTGGCTGTTCTTGCAGAGGACCCAAGTTCAATTCCTAGCACCCACATGGTGGCTAACAATCATCCATAACTCCAGTTACAGGGGATCCACCACCCTCTTCTGGCCTGCATGACACGGGTGCACTTACACACATGCAGGATACACTTAGAATAAATTTTTTAAAAATTTCAAGGAAAACTCAAGTCAAGGTTTCCTGTTTTTTCCCCCATTCTTCTAGTAGTACTACGGATTGAACTTAGGGGCTCACAAATGCTGGTAAGTACCCTACCATTGAGCTATAGTCCCATTCATCTTACTACTTTTACTTTTTAAAAATTATTTTAATTTTTAAAGATTTATTTTTACTTATTTTCATTATGTGTATATGTGTATGAGTATGTGTACATGTGAGTACAGTGCCTACAGTGTCCATAGACAACCGATGTGGGTACTGAGAACCAAATTTGGGTCATGTTCTTAACCACTGAGCCATTTCTCCAGCTCCTCCATATTTTAAAACACTAGTTTTAAAAAAAATTCATTCACACATGTATGTGCACACATGGACACCTGTCAATTTCACTTTCAGTACATTTGCTAGGGTTAACTGCATTTACCTACTTATTCTTTAATCTGATCTTTTCTACTAAAACTAGTTTCTAAAATTAGTTCCTCAAAATTCAAAGACTTTCTCAATGTAAAATTCAGCATGTTTGATCAGCTCTGCTTCCTAACTACCCTGGAACTTTCAATACTGGTGCCAACAAAGTCTCATCCCAGATCGCCCAGCTCCCTGGATCATCCTTTGCTCTCAGCTTCTACAGCGGGAGGTACTTACACTGCTTACTTGGTACTAATCAAGTATTAGCTCTAAATTTGTACACACTTTTAGATTAAGGGAAGGCAGCTATGCTCACCACACCACCACCAACTCATGATTAAAGTATCCTATGTGTTTGTCCTATTTTCCCCCCATTACTTGAAAGTTTGTTTTTTTTTTTTTAAATGAAGGATTGTGGTTTAAGATCTGCTGAAGATGCTTGTTGGGGTGGGGGGGAGAGAACCAAAGTAACCAAAGGAAAAGAAAAAACTGGAATAAAACTGAAATCAATAATGGAACTGTATAAAAATAATGACCTAAAATAGTTTGCAATTAGAAGGATTTAAAAAATTTTTTATGTATGTGAGTGTATTGCCTGCAGGTAGGTAGGTATGTAAGTGCACCCATGTCATGCAATGCCTGTGGAGGTCAGAAGAGAGTATTGGATTCCCCTGGAACTAGAGTTATGGACCATTGTTAGCCCATTGTGGGTGCTGAACATTGAACCCAGGTCCTCTGCAAGAGCAGTCAGTGTTCTTAATCGCTGAGCCATTTTTCCAGCCCCAGTTAGAAGGAATTTATTTTAACATTTGTTACAGGAATTCTAAGGACAAAGCAGAGTCACAGCTTCAGAGATGGGAGTTCTGTTATGTACAGAATGCTGCTATCTGCCCCAGATTTTTATAGCTTTAGTTAACATAGCAACAGAAAGGGTTGCCCTGTGAACAAAAGGACGCTGGTCCACTCTCAGCAGTGGCTACAGAGTATTTGTCCTTTGGCAAGAGAAAGTGCTGCTACCATTGAAATACGGGCTGACTCAGCTCTCACAAAGTGCAGCTGCCCAGGGGAGGAGTGAGCATTCAGAATCCAGTTTAACTCCAAACCAGTCTTCCCTCCAGTGTGCTACTCAACAGACTGGGAATCTCTAAGAGTGGGGAAGTGTCAAGTTAGCTCTGCATTTCCAGTGCTGAGCATGAAAAAAATGGTTATTACATCATAGATTTTCCACACTTATCTGTTCATAGACTGGGAAGACTGAACTGAATCATTTCAATTCAGTATAAATTGAGAGGATCCAATCATAATGCATTAGGCTGTGTGAGCCTGGAGAAGTTATTGCATGGTGATTTCCTTATACATTGGGCTAATAAAGAATTTACTCCTAGGGGCTGGAGAGATGGCTCAGCGGTTAAGAGCACTGATTGCTCTTGCAGAGGACCTGGGTTCAATTCCCAGCACCCACATGGCAGCTATGAACCGTCCTTAACTCAAGTTCCAGGGGAATCCGAAGCCCTCTTCTGACCTCCGCAGCATTGCATGACATAGGTATACTCACACACATTCAGGCAACAAACTCATACACAGAAAATAAAAAGGGTCTGCTGTTCATTTTCCCAATTTTATGCTGGATTACTATCTAATCAAAGGATGGTATCTCCTGTCTGGCATTGTTTCTTGTCATGTAGCCTTTAGCGAGAGGAAAATAAAAATAATAAATAAAATATTTTTAAAAAAAGAATTTACTCCTATAGTGACTAAGAGGACTAAATGAAATGGGTATAAAGTGATTAGAACAAAGGTTTAATACAAAGTAAGCCCTGAATGCTTCTTATTACGTGGTACACAAATTAGCAGTTTAAAGCACTAAGATTATAAAATATTTGGAACAAATGGGTCAAACAATGACTGAAAATACACTGCATGGAGGAGGAAGCACAAATACAGCAAAAATAAGGAACCTTAAAATATTAAGGTTCCTTATTAACGTTAAAATTAAACATGCAAAATATGCATTGAAAATTCAGATTTAGGTAAATAAGCAGGACTCAGAAATAAGATATTATATACTTTAAAAAAATTTCAGTCTCACATATTTACAATATCATTTAAGTAAACAGCAAGTACAAATATAGAGATACCACGTAAGTTACATTTTTACACATTTTGGAAATGAGCCTCTTCAAATTTCTGAGATTGTAAAATATTGGTAAGATTAAACTATCGTAAGCTAAGTGTGGGGAGCATGCCTGCAATCTTATACTCTGAGGCTGAAGCAGGACGAATGCTGTGAGTACAAGGTCAAGTCTCACTATAAAAGGAGACTCTGCCTCAAAATGCCGAGAACAGTTAAACTACTGTAATAAACTAGGAAAGGTTCGATTAACAACCAGCCAAAACCACCACCACAAAACTAACAACAAAGAGCCCTTCTATTATGGAATTTATACAAACATAGCAGCAGAGGGAAAACATGATGCACCCCACTTGTGCTCATCATCAAGCTTCAACTTAACAATATTTTATCACTTGTGAAATATCTTTTAACAGCAAATAAAAATCTCAGTCTTACTTAAAAGGCTGAAATGGCAAAGAAAAGTGTCCAGTAGATTAAAGTATCAGTTGTAAAAAAACACAGCCAAGCCAAACTGGATTTTCCTTATTTTACTAAAAACAAATAAAAACGGAAGAAAGCTTTGAGAGGAACAAACACTTACTGGATGATGAGGTCGCAAATGAAAAGTATGAGGTGATACTACGGCTACAGCAAAGAAACGAAGAAATACAAAGCTGCTCACTGCAGAATACTGAACATGAGGGTCATCTGCAGGAATAAAATGGTGAAATGTCATGCAAAAACACTGAATTAAAAAACAAAGATGACAAAGTAAAAAATATCAAGCATGTAAACTATGTAGGAGAGCGTAACGCCATTTTTATAGTAAGGATTGAGTTGATGAATGATAATAATGATTGCGATTAAAGTAAAAGGAAATGCTTTAACTTAAAAAGATTCTGAAAAACACAGGTAATAAAATTAAAGGCGAAGTTGCTACATTAAAAAAAATTTTTAATTGGAACAAAATACTTCTTTGTCTACAAGAGACTCTGGGAATTACAACAAAAATATAAAGTAGCACCAGTTGGGAGTGGTGGCTCACTCCAGCACTCCAGAGGCAGAAGCAGAGGCAGGCAAATCTCTGTGAGTTCAATGCCAGCCTGGTCTACATAGCAAGTTCCAGGCCAGCAGGGGCTGGAGGGAGATCCTGTCTAAAAAAAAATAGCATCTAGCACTGCCTAGTGGCAACACTGGACACCAAAGTAGGCTACAAGTCAAGGTAGCTTCCAGTTTTAGGTTTTTGTTTCAAATCCCACCCCTAAAAATTTTAAAGATTATCGAAGGCTATATTTATGGCTAATCTGTACTGTCAGCTTCATTAGACTGGGAGACACATAGGAGATAATTAAATCACCCTTCTGGGAGTATCTGTGAGAATGCTTCCAGAGATCATGAGGGCTCTGACCTCATCAACAGTTTTTGTTGTTGGGTTTTGTTGGTTAAGACAGTGTCTCCCTGTAGCCACAGCTTGCCTGGAACTTGCTATGGAGACCAGGTTCATCTCAATCTCACAGAGATCCACCTGCCTCTGCCTCCCAAGTGCTGGGATTAAATGCATGCACTACCATGCCTGGCTCCTAATCAATAGTTTAATACACTGATAGATTCAAATTTTCAATAGACTGCTGTGGGAGATGGTGACAAAGGAGGAAGAGGGAGTAGCTCCCTCTTGATGGAGGAAGAGGGATGCACCGGGCATGCCTTTGAAGGGTGTATTTTAGACCTGGCTCATTCCTATCTTTCTCTTTTTCACTGCTCTACAGTAAGCAGCCTCCTCTGCCACATGATACCAACATAATTTGCTTTGCCTCAGGCCCAAAGCAATGGATCCGACTGATCTTGGGCTAGAACTTCTGAAACCATGAGCCAAATAAATCTTTCCTTCTTTTATATTGTTTCTCTCAGGTATTTATCACAGGGAAGGAAAAACTAACACCTTAAAGAATAAAAACAATTAGGCAGAGCAATTAACTTTTTAAAAAGCTATCATTTCATATAAAAATGCAATGAACTGAAGATTACTCTGGCTTTGGTCATTCATCATCAGTCTTATTTCAGATTGGAGTCAATAATTAACACAGTAACCAGATAGCAGAGAAGCAGGCAGTGAGGGAAAGAATCTGATTTTGGTTTGAGTTTTAACGCTTATAGGTACCCAAAAATAAGCTGTTTGTCACTCTTTAATAATACTTGCTTCCATTCGTTGCCTACCCCTGATACCCATATGACCAGGGTAGTAGGAACAAATGAGAGAAGAGGAAAAAAAACCCCAACCATATATATATATATTTGGTATTTTTGAGACAGGGTCTCCCTGTAGCCCCAGCTGGCCTGGAACTTGCTATGAAGACCAGGCTGGCCTCCAACTCACAGAGATCCACCTGCTTCTGCCTCCCAAGTGCTGGATTTAAAGGCATGAGCCACCATACCCAGCCTGAGGAAAATAATTTATGGCAATAAAATTATCAATACTGTAACCTACTGAAGATAGGGAGACATAATAAGTAACAGAAAAGATAGATGAGATACAGTTGCATTTATGAAAAAGATAAAAGTGTTTCAGATCATTCATAAAAAAAGAATTAAGCAGCTATCACAGACTTTAGACCTAGATCACTGTACGGAGTTCAGTGATTAGTAGCTGTACTTTTGGGGTAGGTTAGGAAAGGTCTGAGACCCTGCTTGACTGCTGACTATATCATAGACCTTGGTAAAGTCATTCAGTCTTTCTGGACCTCAGTTTATATTATCTAACTAATGAGAGTAGTTATGGTTTCCAGTAGTGCTGAGAAGCAGGACATGATACAGGAGAGCACTATGCCTGCTTGTTCACCAAAAAAGCAGTATGGTTATATGACCTAACTATTGAAGATGGAATCTGATCAGCACTTCTATTTTATTATGAAGAGCAGATACATTTGAAGCTAAATGTTTATATATTTATTATAATTAACCAAGAGATCTAGATATGAATTTATGTATAAGTTAGACAATTCAGCCATACTACTTTAGTACTGGGTGAACTAGAGAGACAGATAAGTGCAAACATTTAAAAGAACATAATAAATGGTAAAATCTCTTCAAATGGCTAAAAAAATTAATTTACAGTTTCACTCAGATGGAAAAAAAAACCCCAATAATATACTATTAAGCTGCCTTGTCTATCCCTCCCTCCATTATAGGCAAATGATCAGTTAGAGCAAGTTTATTTACATATCAGAGATAAATTAAAAGTAGGGTAATTCCAAGTACTAGCAGTAAAGAGCTAATAACTCATAACTATGAAATCTTTCCAAGCAAAACCTTAACAGAGCTACTTTTGCAAAACTGAAACATGCGAATTTCTTAATATATTACCTCAAAATACTATGTATGTTGTGACAAATGTTTCCAAAGTCAAAGGCTATTTCTATTATAAAAGTCTTAGCATTTTCAAACTGTCAAATGTAGTCAATTTTATAAAACTGAAGATGACTACTGTTTGAACACATGCAAGTGGAAAAGATGGTTCAACAAAGGTAATCTTGTTCATTCCATAATCTCTTAATTATATGGTATGTTTACTTACATATTATAGATCTAAAATTTTATTTCTTAAAACTACTGATTTTGATTTGCTCTTTATATACAGTTGTATTATACTGAAATAAAATGGACTGTATGTTTTGAGATTACAGGAAAAATAAACGGTAAGTCTCATAATGAAAGTTAGCACCATTTTGAAAAACTTCTACTATACCTATAAACAAACATTTTCATACAGGCGAAACATACAACTCCCAGGAAAAAAGGCAGAAAAAGAAGTATGATCAAGGCACTTACTAGGAAATCTCTGAGTAGCCATTTGCCTTAGAGAATAAAAGACATCACACATTACAGTGGGGCAGCTCATACTTGATTGTACAATCGTACTGAATAACTTGTCCACATAGTAGCGCAGATTCTCCTGCAGGTTTTAAAAAAGCAAACACTGAGATTTTGACTTTCACACGTCTTCAGCACCCTTTATGAAAAAAAGGTGATGGATGAGATTAGATGATTACTATTTAGTATTCTAAAGTCATGTTTCCATTCTCCAAATTCATTCAGTTAAAGGGCAATCAACATTCTGACCTACTTTAATAAATTAAATTTAGGCTTGCTAGATAGAGAAGTGAATATATGAAAATAACCTCCACAAGATGCAACAGATAATAAATCAAATAGGAAATGAGGGAATTAACTCAAGATATACAACATCAGCATACATGACACTTCTACACACTACAGTGAAAATTTGTGATGCTGACACAACTACAGATTTCCCAGAGGTAATTAGAGGTAATAAAGTTATTTTGCCACTTGGCTGGTATGAATAGTCAGAATGGAGTTTGCAACTAAATGTAGTTTAAATCCACTATTGCTATAGGATATTGCTGTTGGTTGCCCACCAGAACCAGATGGTAAGACCTTATTGCTAAAGACACAATATGCACGGGTTATAGGATATATATTATAGAAACCAACCTGAAACTGGTCTAGAAGCTTCCTCCCTATTGGCTAGATTTCATTGTTAGACGTTAGTATGCAGGCTCCTAATAGGTAATTGTCACTAGCAATCTATTCAGCTATTGACCATGTGTGCTACACTACTGATCTTCCAGGCAAGATGTGCCCAATACGGCAATACTTGCATCTTGTCTGGGGACAAACAATCGCCAATTTGAATTTGAGGTCTGTTCCAATGGGAAGAAATCATACCTGACACTCTAAACCTGATCAAAAACCCATAGCAGAGGGTGTGGCTAGTGGGGAAGCTACTGTTGTTGATTTGCTAAATGGATACACCTGTCGAACTGCCTTATGAGTATTTATGTTCAAGCCTATAGATTAGTGTTGTTGTCAGCATTACTCAGAGAAGCTTCTTTTGCAGTGGGTGGCAGTTACAGCAAAGGCTCATAACTGGTCAAAGTGCAGAGAACAGATGACAGTTGAATGCTTGGCCTTAAATGAATCATCTATATCACCATTCCCTGACTCCCAAAACTCAGCAAACAGCACTGAAGAGGAGGCAGAAAAATAAGAGTTTGAGAAAATAGTGGAATATTGTGGAACACTGTCTTTTGGGCATGACATGACTGTACTCATGAATTCTCAGCAGTTGTGATTACCAGAACAAAAATTTGCACAAAACTGGGTCCATTAATACTCTGTCATGGAGTGGGACAGAGTTCATAAGTGCTCCTTTCTCATCCCTGATATCTATAGGCAATTAATGGCTGCTGGAAAAGGAGGCATGTTTTCACTGGCATGCTTTTTTTTTTTTTTGGTCTTTTTGAGACAGGGTCTCCCTGTAGCCTCAGCTGGCTTGGAACTTGCTTTATAGACCAGGAAGGCTTTGAACTCACAGAGATCTGCCTGCCTCTGCCTCTGGAGTGCATGCACCACCACACCTGGCCACTGGTATGCATCTATAATTAACTCCTCACCAATGCTCTTCTGTAAGCAACCCTAAGTAAACTCACTGGGTCACACGCACACAAAAACTAAGGGTAGAAAAGGAGAAGGGTCAAATCGTTTTTGTTGTTTTTTTGAGACAGGGTCTTCCTGTAGCTCCAACTGGCCTGGAACTCACTACGTAGAACAGGCTGACCTTGAACTCACAGAGATCTGCCTGCCTCTGCATCTCAAACGCTGGGATCACAGGCCTGCGCCACCACGCCTGGCCTGGAAGGTCAAATATTTTTAGTAAATATATATTTAAGGGCTGAAGAAATGGCTCAGTGGTTAAGAGAACTGGCTGCCCTTGCAGAGGACTGGAGTTTGGTTCCCAGCACCCAAATAGAGGCTCACAATTCTCTAAAACATCAGTTCCAAGAAATCTGACACTTTATTCTGGTCTCCACGGGCACTGCATGCACAGGAACACTTACATACATGCAGATAAAACACTCATAAATATAAAATAAAAATAAAATTTAAAAAAAGAAAGGGGTGTGGGTGAGGACCTGAAGGGATGGCACAGCAAGAGCATGTGTTATTCTTGCAGAGAACCCGGGTTTTGTTACCAGCACCTATGTCAAGCAGCTTGCAACTGCATGTAATTCCAGCTCCAGGGAATTTGAAGCCTCTGGCCCCTACAGGCATCTGTACTCATACATGCAATACCCAACACAGACACAAATGCAAATACATAATTAAAAATAAAATTAAAAAGAATAAAGACAAGTAGAAAGGAGGACTAGTTGGAAAGGACAGGGAACAGTGGGAGGGGGGACAAAAGAGGGTATGAACATGATCAAAATACCTATATACATGTATGAAAATATAAAAATTAAACCTATTATATATAATTCATATATGATAAAAAATTTAAAAATAAATTGTTGTTGTCAAAGGGAAGAGGATAAATCCTCTATAGCCAAAAGAAGAGATAGTAAGAATAAAAACAAGGGACTGAAGCGATGCGTCAGTGGTTAGGAGCACTGGCTGCTCATCCAGAGGATGAGAGTTGGGTTCCCAATACCCACATTCAAAGGCTTAGAACTGTTTGTCACTCCAGTTCCAGGGGGATCTAATGCCCTCTTCCGGCCTCTGCAGGCACCTGCACACATGTGGCAGATACACAAACGCTCACCAAATACACATAACTAAGAATAAAATAAAGAAAATTTAAGAATAAAAATAAGGTGAAATCAGTCCTAGGAAACACAATGAAAAGTGAAGGCTAATGTAAAGAATAAATAGCACTGCTTCCCTACATGTGACCTTATTAAGATATAAGTGGGAGAAGGGTATGACATTAAGACCAAAATTAATGTAGTCACAAATATATCAAACCTACCTTATTATTTTCTACATTATCTCCCTCTTTCAATTTAATTGGATCAATTTCACAGGATTTTGAAGATTCACATATCTGAAAAATACATGTATTTTTTAGTTACTACTCCTTCCTAGTCAATTTGAGAAAATGAAAATAATTATTTTTTTCTGTAATATAAAAATTAAATCTAACAAAGTTTAAAACCCCCAGAGATAACATATACAATGCACACAATTTTACAAAGAACTGTATCAAAAGTGTTTCTCATATACTTGGAACCAAAGCTAAAATAAAAATATGACAAATAATTACATAGATTACTGTGCCTTCTTAGAAAAGACCCACACATGGAAAAGCAATTTATTTCTAGAGTGTTTATCCTTATTCTTTCATATGAATGGACAGGTCCCTCCCATTACCACATTACTTCTTGAAAGGGATGCTTTAAGATGGCTCTCTAGTGACTAGAGGTGAACTTTGTACCTCATCTAGAATGGGTTTTAATGTTACTTTCAGGTAGTGCCCTCCCACTATTTTCATCATTTCATCCAGACATCGGGTAGCCAAGGAATTTCCTCTAAAAATTGTGTTTGCATCTCTGAAACAGAAATAGAAACAAATAAAACCAAGTGTAGCAAAAAAGAAAGAAAAGGCTTTGAAACAGTAATATGACACATTTGACTTTGATCATACATATACAATTTTAGTCACTTTTACTATTAATTTGAAAGCTTGCTGACATTAGATTTTTCTAAACCTACCAATTGTTTTCTGAAAATATGTTAAGAATCAGTTAAAAAAAGGAAGAAACTAAGATTATGAATTAAATAAAAAGTACTGTGTGTATGTGTGCATAAAATGATGGTGCTGTTTTAGCCTGATGGGAATGGGAAGTCATTTGATAGCTTTCATGATGTATATATGTGCCTACAAGTCTGCCTCATAAAAAGGGAAGACTTCTGTGCTACTATTTGTGACATGTCAATCATTATATTAAGAAGCAAAGATAAACAGCAGTAAAAAGGAGGCTTCATCACTGGATTTAAGATGTCTTCATTAATTGTTGCCCTTGTTCTTTTCAGCCTACTGTAAACAGTCAATACAAAAGAACTCACACTCTAAAAACAATTTGGCAAACTGAGATCTAATTCCAGTAATTCATAATTAATATTAATGAAATATAATTCTTACTGGGTATCCTTCAAGTCCAATTCGGCCACTGCAGTGACAAAAGGAACAAGTTTATCGTGATGCAGCAATAGTCGTACAAGAGGCAAAACAGCATCATTTTTATCGCGACATATTTCACCCAAAATATAAGCAGCTGAGGCAGATATTGGCTAGGATATAAAGGTAGAAAACAAGCACAAAAATCAAGGAAACATGATTACATCTCCAATCACTAACCTGTGAATATAATGCAAATACATTAATTATAACTGAGATATAAAATAATATTTAGCCTTCTAAAGTGTCAGAGATAAAATCTGAAGTGCATATCAGTGCTCTGATTTAGAGAAATCAAATACAGATAGCTTTATTGAGTTCACACTATGAAACCTCTTCTTCATTTACAGTTTAGTTTAGCCTTTTCATATCAAGTCACACACTGAAGATTTTTAAAGTACCTGAACATCTGGTGATTTTAGCAGCAAAGTTTTCAAAGGACCATAGTACTCTGAAGGAAGCACATAGTCTTCTGTATAGCATATATTTAGTCGAAGTGATCCCAGATCATCAGCTTTAGATGACTTGTTTCCATTGTCTCGTGGTTGTAGCAAGTACCTAAAGGAAAAATAATAATTCCATGTGACAGCAATGAGTATATATGGGTAAGTGGGAGAAACAAACAGCTAGACTGCTGAAAAAATAGAGCCAGGGCTGGGAGTATAGCTCAGTGGTAATGTGTGCTTTTAGCAAATGTGAGGCCCTAGGATCAATCCTGAACGAAGCATGTAAGTGAAGTAAGAGAATACATAGGAAAAGTTAACCTATTACTTCAAGCTGGGGCACTTCAAAAGTTAGCAGGCTAATCTTTGAGAACATGGAACTGGTTAAATATTGGACTAGAAAGCTGCAGAAAGATATTTATCTACAAAATTATTTGTGTGGTACTGGGGATCAAACCCAGAGCATCACCCAAACTAGGCAAGTACTCTACCCCTGCCACAATCCCTAGTCCTTGGCTAATAAATTTTTACCAACTAAATTTTTAAAAGAGATGACTATTTGAAATAGACAAGACATACTGGAAGGCATAAAGCAGTCTTGCTTTTGTTTTTGGTGTTTGGGATTAAACCCAAGGCCTTCTGCAATCTAAGCAAGCATTCAATCACTAAACTCTGCAACCTAGTTTTAAAGTAAATTTTTGCTATAAAAATTTCAACTTATTAAAAGTGCTTAAAGTTTATAGTTTTTAAATTATTAAAAAACTGACAGTAATCATCTTCAAAATGTTTATATTTGCAAAAAAATCAAATTCACATGAATTTTTTTCAAGTATGCAAAATGCAAAAAATGTGTGTAGAGTGCTGAAAAGCCAGGACTGCGGTCCGGTTCCCAGCACCCACACAGCAGCTGGCAACTGTTTGTAGAACCTGTTCTAGGGGATCCAATGTCCTCTTCTGGCCTCCATGGGCACTGCACACATGTGGTGCACATACATGCAGGCAAAAACATTTGTATACCTAAAATAAAAATAAATAAATCATGGGGGCTGGTCTCAATAGTGAGTTCCAGTCCAGCTAGGGCTACAGGGAGACCCTGTCTCAAAAAGACCAAAGAACAGTGGTTGGTCTTGGAGGGGAACTGGGTTTAGTTCCCAACACCCACATAGTGACTAACAACTGTCCGGGTTAAAATGGCTCAGTGGGGTAAAGGTGCTTGCTGTAGAAGCCTAATTACCCATGTAAAGAGGTAAGGAGAGAATGGAGTCCACAAAGTTGTCCTCTGATGTCCATATACATGCCATGGTACAGGTGCCCTCTCCCCATATCATCTATATACACAAAAATAAAGTTTAAGAAAAGAAAAAGCTAATGGTTTTCAAAGTTTTTCATCAAGATTTATTTTTAGTGTGTGTGTGTGTGTGTGTGTGTGTGTGTGTGTGTGTGTGTGTGCATGTGTGTGCTGGTGCCTGTGGAAGCCAGAAGAGGGTATCAGATCCCTCAGAGCTGGAGTTATTGGTAGCCTGATATATGTGCTGAGAATCAAACTCTTGTTCCCTGCAAGAACTGTCAGCAATCTTAATGCTGAGCCATCTCTCTAGATCCATTCTCCTTTTTATTCATTCCAGGACTCTGGCCCATGAAATGGTGCTGCCCACAGTAAAGGTGTGTTTTCTCACTTCAATTAACCTCAATTATACTTGCAGGGTGTACCAGAGGCTAAGATAATCAGTATAATGAGGTAATAAGGCTTATCTCTTAGGTGATTCTAGATCCTCTCGAGTGGACAAACAGTATTAACTATCACAATACTTCTTAAAAATTAACTATTTTTTGCATGCCTGTGGTGTGTATGCATGTGTAATACATGTCACATATGTATGTGACATTAGGTATTTCCATCACTTTCTACTTTATTTACTGAGGCAGGGTCTCTCATTGAACCTGGAGTGCAACAATTCAGCTAGTCTAGCTAGTCAACTAGTGCTGGGGACCCCTCCTGAATGCTGGGATTACAGGCAGGCTATTCCACTCACCCAACTCTTTATGTGGGTGCTGGGGATTTGAGTTTTGGTCCTCATACTAGCAAAGCAAGCCCTTTATCTACTGAGCCATCTCCCTAGCCCCCATTCCACTCCCATATCTCTTTCAGTTTACTGACTCCCTCCATTCCTCACAAGAACTTTGGTAGTTTGAAACTGTTAACTCTACCTCCATGATGATCATTTATCACATTCCCTCTATTCTCTATTTCCTGCATATTGGTAATTCGAGCTAAAGTCTCAAGTCAATTCAAATCCATGTTCTGGAGAGAACACTTCATTTGATAACTGGTGTATGATTCTTCCTTTACTTATTAGAATATTTTTTATGAAGGAATCCCACTGGTTGTTTTGTTTGAGATAGGGTCTCACAGTGTAGCCTTGGCTGGCCTAGAACTTTGGCAATCCTCTGGCCTCAGGTTCCTGAGTGCTGGAATTCCAGGCAGGAACCAACACACCCAGTTCTTACAGTTTTAAGATATGGTAATATGAGGACAAAAATTTTTTTTATACAAATTACTACCATCCCTATAAAAGAACTATTTTAGAAAACCAGCCTTCAGATCTCTCTATAGCCTTTACTTTGATAAACATACTATTTAACTTATTGGTAAATTATTTGAAAGGGCAAATAATCAGAGAGTGGTGTGCTAAGTATAGAGACACAAGAGTTAAGCACTTTTTTTTTTTTTTTTTTTTAAAAACAGGGTCTCTCTAGTCACAGCTGACCTAGAAAGTCACAATGTCAACCAGTGTAGCCTTGATCTCATATAGAGCCACCTGCCTCTGCCTCCCGCAGGCTGGGATTAAAGGCACACGCCACCATGCCCAGCAGAGTTAAATAGTCTTAAGAATCTCAGCTACAGAATAACCTTGCTAAAGAAACTGTTATACTCTGGGCAACAATCCCCATTCTCACTGTGCTTGAACATATTGTGTCCGTGTCTGTTCTTCTGGAATCAAAAAAAAAAAAAAAAATTCTAGATTAATCTTTATAACTAGTGTTTTCTACATAGTAGAATGGTATTACTTAAATTACTGCTTCCTCAGTTAACACCTGATTCCACTCTTAAACTGGCTTCACATTCTACTCCATACTCTACAATCAAACATATTTTGGTTTGCTCAATGGAGTTTTACTTAGATAACTATACTTATCTCCAACTTACTGGTATGTGTGTGGGGGGGGCAGCATTTGACTTATCTTTCTGTTACTTTCATAAAACTAAAAAATACTAGGTCAATAGTCCTGGAAGCACTGTTCTATGAAATGGGGAGAGGGTAAGGACAGTGCAATGTCAGAATTTCATACTCCTGTATATGTTGTTCCCGGATGCTTAGGAACTCTAGGAAGCTCACTTGTGTCACTTTTAAAATCCATCTCTTGGGGCTGGAGAGATGGCTCAGCGGTTAAGAACATTGGTTGTTCTTGCAGAAGACCCAGGTTCGAATCCCAGCACCCACATGGCAGCTAACAACTGTCTGTAACTCCAGTTCCAGGGGATCCAAAAGCCTCTTCTGTCCTCCACGAGCACTGCAGGACATGGATGCACTTACCTACATGCAGGCAATACATGCATACACATAAAATAAAAATAAATAAAATACTTTAAAATTTGCCTCTTAGTGTTTTGACACATAAATCCCAACAGACAAAATAAACTCATCTATGTGTACTTTAAAAAAATACAAAGCTTCAAAGCACTGTTCTGACCATTCCCTGAAAAGATGACTTAAAAAAAAAAAAAAAAAAGAAGAAAAGAGTAAAGACTTTTCTGATTTCTTATTAAATAATTTTGTTGATCAGAGGTGTCCTAGAGACTCCCCCAAAACGATACAGGAAATTGCCATTGCTCTTGGTTTCCACCAAAACTTGACAGTAAGACTTTATTGCTAAAGACACCACACACTTTAGTCATAGGACATGGAGAAATCAAGCTGGAATTAAATACGAAGCTTTTGAATAGGAAGCTTCCTCCCTGCTGTCTAGCTTTCAGAGTCATGGAATGTGCTAGACAGGCTGCTGGAGGGGAAAGTCACCAACAATCTTACCAGTTGTGAGCCCTATGAACTACAATAATGACCTGTGTGTGTGTGGCAAGATATGCCTATGGGTGCAGTAGTGGCACAGGTATTATGGGTTAATCAAACACTTTCTGATTGGATTTAAGGCATGCTCCACAGGAAGAAAGACATGACTGGTATGTAAACCTGGCCAGGAACAAATGGTTAGGGAGCTCACAGACCCCAGGGGTAAACCTACTACTATTATTCTGCTAAATGGATGTAATGTCAAGCTTTACCTTCACACTCTATATGCAGAAATTAGTGCAGCTCTCAGACCTTGTCAGAGGAATTTCTTTCTCAGTGAACAATGGTTAATGTAGAAACTCACAATTGGTCCAAGTTCAGAGAATAAGTGTCAATGAGTGCTCAGTCACAAATGGGACATCTGAATCACACATACCTGAGGCTCAGGAAGAGGTGGCAAAAAGACTGTTAAGGGCCAGAGGTTGTGGAGGACTGCACTGAAACAGTGAAGGCTACTATACTTATGAACTCACAGCAGCATAAGACCAATCCAGTCAATAGTCATGGATGGAGGAGGGGACTAAGGTGCTTCCATTCCCCAGGAGCTACTGAGACCTGATGACTTCTGAGGGACAGACAGTTTTTTTTTTTTTTTTTAAATAAGTGTGACCCCTGGTAGGGTGATGATACTCCAGTAGATGCCCCACACCCATATGGGCAGCAAATTGGACTTGGTGGTTATTTTATTTGTTTTGGTCTTTTTGAAACAGGGTCTCCTGTAGCCCCAGCTGGCCTGGAACTCACTATGTAGACCAGGCTAGCCTTGAACTCACAGAGATCAGCCTGCCTCTGCCTCCTGAGTGCTGCTGGTGAATTATTAAAAAAAAAAAAAAAAAAAAAAAAAAGCTGGGTGTGGTGGAGCATGCCTTTAATCCCAGCACTGGTCTACATAGTACATTCCAGGCCAGCTGGGGCTGCAGGGGAGAACCTGTCTCAAAAAAAAAAAAAAAAGAGGACATAAAGTTGAGAGGGGTGAGAGGGTGAG